CAAAACAAAGAAAACCAAAAAAACCCACCACCATCACCACCACCAACAAAAAAAACAGGTCTCCAGGATACAATTATAGGATCCTTAGTCCCTGGGGAAAGGTAGAACCATATGTACTTGGTCACTTGGTCAAAGCTACTGCTCTTGGAAACAATGAGGATACAGAGCCTGGGCACCGGGAAGAGCAAGTAAATCTTGGTGGGGGAGGGGCTGGGCAAAAAGCCTTGGAGACAGAGGGCAGAGGCCCTGATCCCTTCCCTTCTGAGGTTCAGCATTATCAGAATCTTTCCAAAAGCTATGAGGTACCCTTGACCAAGCACTGTTTAAGCCTTCAAAAAGCAATATGGAACAACATGGATTGACCTGCAGGACATTATGTTAAGTGAAATAAAACAGTCACAGAAGGACAAATACTGCATGATTCCACTTTACATGAGGTATCTAAAATCATCAAACTCGTGGAAGCAAAGAACAGAATTGTAGCTGCCAGGAAGTAGGGGGAGGGGTAAGCAGGTAGTGTCTTTCTTTTTTCTTTTTCATTTTTATTAGAGTAGAGTTGGTTTATAATATTGTGTTCGTTTCAGGTGTACAGCAAATGAATCAGTTATACATGTACATATATCCACTCTTTTTGAGATTCTTTTCTCATATAGGCCATTACAGAATACTGAGTAGAGTTCCCTGTGCTATACGGCAGGTTCTTATTAATTATCTATTTTATATATAGTAGTATGCATATGTCAGTCCCAATCTCCCAATTTATTCCTCCCCCCTATCCCCTGGTAAGGTAGTTTCTGATGAGTGGGAATAAAACTTCAGTTATACAAGATAAGTAAGTTCTAGAGACCTACTGTACAATATTGTGCCTATGGATAATACCATATCATGCACTTAGAAACCTGTTAAAAGAGTAGATTTCACGTTGTGTTCTTACCACAATAAAACAAGAAAAGAGAGAAAATGCAAATACAACACTCAAATCCATCTAGGATACACTGCCAGGAAAGGGAGAGTCTGAGATACTGTGTGCTCAAGTCGGAGGGCTGGCTCTGGCGGGAACCCCTTAGGACCCAGCCCCCAGGGCAATATGTCACTCTTTGGGAAATAGTGGCTGCATGCTGAGTAGGAACTAAGAGTTGTTACTCTGCACCCAAGACGCAGCACCTCTGCTGCAGGTGCAGAATGACCAAGAAGGGCACAGTCACCAAACCACAAAGCAACCTCTGGGCTGTCCACAACAGCGACACCATGTGGCAGCAGCTAAACCCACAGGTCAGGCAGGCTGGCCAGTAGCCTCAGGCTCCCTCTTTTCCTGGCATTGGAAGCAGAACAGGTTTTGGAAAATAACTCTATAATTCTTAGATGAAAACAGGAGGGGGCATGCTCAAGAGAAAGATGCTAGTCCTTTTGGTAATGAAGAGCAGCAGAGGCGCCTGAGTGATTAATGAGAAAAATTAAAGAGCTATGAACATATTTGTAGCACCCTGAGTCACAGCCCAAGTGCTAAGCTTAGTTTGGATGTCAGAATTTGAGGGAAATGAGGAGAGGCACAACTTTAAATTTTGTTTATATGACCGCTTGCATCAGGAATAAAGAAATGTGCTTCCTTTGGGACCAAACCCCATCCTGACATCCTTTCAGGCACTAAGGAAAGCAACCGGAGGACAACAAGTATGGGAGACGCTGTGCTTCAGGGGAAGAACTGGAGGCTCTTAATCTCATCACACCCTTCTGATAACACCTCCGCGTTTGCTTTTCTGCAGACAAGCTTGGAGGCCTAAACAGTCAAGCTCTCGCCTGTCCCCAACCACCCCAAGAGGAAAGAAACCTGTCAGCTTCCCTAAAAGGGAAAAGGAGAAAAGAAAACAAAGTCAAAAGGAAAAGCTAAAGTTGCATCTCCTCTGTTTGAAGGCACAACGCAGGAGAGAGGTTTTGCACAGAGGCACCGCTGGACCCTGGGGAAGGAAACCTGTGTGCTTCGAGTTGGAAAACATTAAGCGCAGGGAGGTTTCAATGAGCTTCAGCAGCTCTTTGATAGTCCCTGATGTTGAGATGGCAATGGAGCATTTGAAATGCGAGCTTTCCAAGAATATGCTTTTTAGGAAGCGATTTTCCCTCTTGCTATCCCTTCGCTTTGGGGATATTCAAATTAGGCCTTGAGTCATCCCATTGGGGGTACCTCCATTCCTCCAAATGGGCCTGGGTCAGAGCAGCTTTAACATGAAACCCTGCCGAAGCCCCAGCTGCTGTTCCACGTAGTAGTAACTCCAAGGGCTTCGCCGAGATGGATTGAGAAGAGATGCAATAAAAGGCATAAAATTAAAGACAACACTAATAAAACCTGATGAAAGAAAACACCGCTAGCCTACCCAGCAGCTTAAATTACATTTACCACATCTGACAGGGAGGGGGTAATCATGAGTAATAAGCTCAGGCTCTGGAAAGAAATTACGGGATAAATAACTTAAGGACAGGTAACACCAGGGGAAGTCACTGATTCACCTTCCCAGAGAAGACTCCAGACAGTATAAAACCCACCAATCACATGGAGGCAAATTTCACTTGGGGGGGCCCTAGAGAGTCTAGGATCTGGATTCCCAAACATCCCAGAGCCAGCAATCTGGCAGCAGCACTGAGACTGCTTCTGGTTGCAGTTTCCAGTCCAGCCCGACTTCACCCCACTGCCTGGTGGCTGTTGTCACCACAGCCCGACCTCGGTGTGCCCAGGCGCAGTCAGTCATTAGATGAGGGCTGTCCTATTGTCCCCTGTTCCTTTCTGCCCCATCAGCTGAGGCCACGCTATGCTACTTGGGCTGCCTCAACACAACCAGTTCCTGGAACCAGGCTGGTCCCCAAAGAGGACCCAAACCATCCCATTATCTGCAGATTCCTCCTGCCACCTCCTTGGAACACCCCAAGTTCCCAAACTTCCAGCTGTTTCTCACCACAGCTTAGCAGGGAAGCAATCTGATTCGACTAATTCACACCAACTCTCCAAGGATTCTCTCTTTTTAGAGAGCAGGCCAGGTAATGCAAATGGACCCCTCACGGTGGGCTTTGAGCCTGCACAGGAGGTGTCAGGAGCCTCCTCTGGACCTCACGTGCAAGACAGACCGCGTGAGAAGAGAAGGAAAGGCTCCATCACCATGCTCTCTCCGCCTGCCAGCCATGGTCCAGTGGACGGAGGGCTCACGCACTGCTCCATTCCCTCCCCTGACAGCAGCCTCCCATCTCCAGGCTTCCTGGCTTGGACCCATCAGTGAACAGGATAATGTCTCCTGTAGAGACAGGGAGGGGCTGTCTGGCCTCAAGCCAATGAAGACCCTGGAAAGTCCTGCTTTGAGCAGAGGGATTCCTCTGCTCAAAGACTAAAGGGACACAGGAACTTGGGGTCTTCAGAGGACAGGTCTTCAGACTCTCTGTCCCCTGGCATCCTAATGCCAGGCTAAGCTCCCACAGCTTCTCCCTTGGTCCTGTCCTCACCACATTCGTCTCGAGTAGGGCGTTCTCAGAGTTCCTGGCTGATTGGCTTCCCCAGGTTATAGCTGTGAGGAGGTCCTGCCTCTTCCTCAGGATCCTTAGAGCACAGTGATCCCTGATCGTAGCCCTCAGTTAAGAGGGTCTCAATGGAAGAGGGGCGTGAAGGTGAGGAAGAGTCTTTCAAGAAGCTGCATTGCCTGAGCACCTGACTCCTCCCAAGACAAGCTCGGCCATCTGAGTTCTTCCTCAGACAGCTTCCAACTTGGAAAAAAATGGAGGGATATTACTCCCCGAAAGTCTTCAGCATGAGGGAGTTCTACAGATAACAAGGACTTTTATTTCTCTTTGGTCACTATTAGAGCTAGTCTAAGGAAAGAATGGGACTCCATTCTATCAGAATAAAACTTAGAACTGACAAAACTCAGCTTACCAGAATCTTCAAACTATCAGTTTTTTCCCTGCCCTCTGCTCTTTAGAAACGGGAAACTTACACGAAAACAAACACAAAGTCACACCCCCATCTACTTGTCCACCTGTGAACACTTATCAAGTGCACAGGATTTTGTCAGCGTGGCATTTGAAGATTCCTGGCTCTATCCTGGGGGCAAAGTACAGGTGTTGTCCGATGATGCCCCGTCTGCATCTCTATCCTGTGCTCTGAATCTAGCACCAGCATTGCCTCAGGCAGCAAAGAGTCAAGTCTCTGCTTATCAAAATCTACTTGCTTTGATCAGCAATGAATTCAACCCAAAGTTCTGGAAGGACTCACATCAAATTGTTGACAGTGATGGCTGGGAGCAAGAGGAAACTTCCCTTTCCCTCTACTATTCTATATTGCTTTTGTTTTTTAAAAAAAAAAAACACACATAGAATATATTCATGGAGTCCTTCAAACATTAAAATAAATTAATAAATGGCCAAAAAGGAAAAGGAAGTGACTCTTTTCAACAACACAGCCAGGTTTCGATGGGGGCTGAGATCCGGAAGCATGGAAGGCATCTATTCTCAGCCACATTGTCGACTGAATGGCCCAGAACAGACCCAGGCATCCTGGAAGTTCTCTTCGGGGCTGGACATAGCTCCGTCCCTCCCTCTCGCTGCTCTCTTCCAGTTTTCTGACCTTGATGACAAGAGCTCCCGTATTTCCAGCACCTGCTACCCCACTTACTTAACGCTTTTGACCCCTGGCAGCTCTCAGGTCTAACAGAGAGGGCACATGCCTTCAAGCTCACTTGGGCTCAGGTGACCCTCTGCGCTTACGAAGTCCTATTGACCTCATTCCAGCACCTCTCAAAGCTTTCCTCAGGTTAAAGACGGGAACCTTCCTCAGCACAAAAGGCTGATCAGCTGCTGAAGAACCTCGTGCTGGAGGCAGAGGTCAGGTTTTGGCCCATCCATCCCAATGACTCCCCTCCCCCACCCCCCTGCAGAAATTCAGAAAATAGAAGCCTGGCCACTGAAGCAGCATAAAGCTTCTCGCCACCACCTCCTTAATCACCAGGCTGCTGGCACGCGCTTACCTGCAGATGTAATTCGTCTTGCAGGAGTCCTGCAAATTCAAGCAGTTGGGCTTCTCCCTCTCCTCATAGGAGCACACCGGCACGATGGTCTGCCGTCTCCGCTCGGTGCAGGCGATGTCCCGGCAGGAGCAGAAGAGCATCCCGTAGCTATGCTTGGCCAGGACCTTGTCGAAGAACTGCCGGAGGGCCTTGTGGCACTTGCGCCGGTTGCAGACGTCGTTGGACGTGCTGGTGGTGCATGGTGTGATGTACGCGGACCTGTACTTCTTACAGGTGTCGTCTAGGTTGCAGGCCTTGGCGGCGTCCAGGCAGTTGTTCCCTTTCGGGATGTGCTCCACTGCAAAAGGAGAGAAAGGCAGGCGTGATCACAGGGCTGTGTGCTGGGGCTGCTCTGCTTTCATTGAGATCTGGCCATTCACCTGGCAGTGCTGGCTGCTCTGATCAACTCTGTGTCTTGAAGCTAATAACTTAATGAGTTCATGACAATGAGGAAGCATCAGGGGCACAGAAGCTGGGAGCCCACGGGAGCACACAAGCTCCTAGCATTGTCTCGGATGTATAATTAGGAGGTGCTGAGTAAGGCCAAAGGAGCTCCGGCACCTGCCTGACTACATACAAACAAGGCAACAGAACAAGTTTCCAGCTCCTGGTTGGTAAATTGAAATTAGGATAAAAGAAAAAAGCAACAAATTATATACTTGTTTATTATATAATATATAAAATGATATGCTGAATGTAAGTATAATTGCCATGCAATCCTCCAGGAATATAATTATGTAATAAATGCACATAGTACATGTTAATTACTGTATGATTACAGAGTAATTGCATGGTTGTTTGAGCCCAGAAGACAGAATATTATGCTAGCTCTCTAAACAGGAAGAAGCAACTACATCGAAGCTGTATTTAAGTTCTAGCTCACAGGCCACTGGAAGAAAACCAGAATAAATTACATAAAAATTTGCAAACCTCAATTACCATTTAACTTACCGCATAGAAAATTGGGGATCTATGAGTACTGAGGTTGCAGATTAGAAAAATTCAGTTAGTATTTTGGATAGAATTTCAATGGGCTTACAAACCACATGCCTTAGGAATCTCACAAAACATATGTTGCCTTCTGTCCAAGCCCTCTGTGCTCATGCTGTCAGAGAAACCAGTGCTGTCCACTGCCAGGCTGCCCACTGAGAGGCCTGGAGAGAAAGCACGGAAGAGGCAGGGCTCACTGGGGTGGGCTGGCAGCGCCAAGGCTAATGGGAAAAGTTAAAAGATGAATGGACAAGGGAAATTAAGCTCATTTCCCATAATATAGGTCTTACCAAGCAAGGCGAAGTGATGGAAAAACCTCCTAGAGCCAAGTTATGAGATAGCCCATGGAAAATTGATAATTAGGTGTAGCAGGGACCCTCCAGAGACAGCAAGAAGGCAGCAGACAAGCACCACAGAATCGTGGGATTCAATCTCCAGCAAGTTCCTGCTCAGGTCTCAGCCCCTTCATGGGTTCTGAAAACCCCTTTCATTCTCTTTATGCACCCAGTTGATGGGGACCATGAAAGCATTTGAGAATTAGCAAGAGAGGAGACAGAGTCTAGCTGGGTTGGGTGGGACCAAAAGAGAGGGCAGTGCATTTGGTATCTAAAAGGCACATGGGATATTCAGCCTTAAATAAAAGAAGGAAACCTGCCATGGGCAACAACATGGATGAGCCTTGAGGACATTATGCTAAGTGAGATAAGCCAGTCCCAGGAGGACAAATACTGAGTGGTTCACGTATATGAGGTATCTAAAACTCTCAAACTCACAGAAGCAGAGAGTTGAATGGTAGTTGCCAGAGGCTGAGGTGAGGGGGAAATGGGGAGTTGGTATTCAAGAGGTATAAAGTTTCAGTGATGCAAGATGAATAATTTCTAGAGATAGGCTGTACAACATCACATTTACACTTAACAATACTGTATTGTGCACTTAAAAATCTGTTAAGTGGCATTATTTCACTCTTTTGGATGGCTGAGTAATATTCCATTGTATATATAAACCACATCTTCTTTATCCATTAATCTGTCGATGGACATTTAGGTTGTTTCCGCGTCTTGGCTATTGTAAACAGTGCTGCTATGAACACAGGGGTGCATGCATCTTTTCGAATTATAGTTCTGTCTGGGTATATGCCCAGGAGTGGGATCGCTGGATCATATGGCAGCTCTATTTTTAGTTTTTTGAAGAACCTCCATACCGTTTTCCACAGTGGCTGCACCAATTTACATTCCCACCAATGGTGTAAGAGGCTTCCCTTTTCTCCACACCCTCTCCAACATTTGTTATTCATAGACTTTTTAATGCTGGCCATTCTGTCTGGTATGAGGTGGTTCCTCATTGTATAGTTCTGATTTGCATTTCTCTAATACTTAGCCATGTTGAGCATCTTTTTATGTGCCTCTTGGCCATCTGTATGTCTTCTTTGGAGAAATGCCTATTTAGGTCTGCTGCCCATTGGGACCTAGAGATTATCATACTAAGTGAACTAAGTCAGAAAGAGAAAGACAAATACCACATGCTATCACTCAAACGTGGAATCTAAAATATAATACAAATCAACATCTCTACAAAACAAAATCAGACTCACAGATATAGAGAACAGATTTGTGGTTGCCAAGCGGGAGCGGGGGTAGGGGAGAGAAGAAATGGGAGTTCAGGATCAGCAGATGAAAACTATTATCATATACGATGGATAAACAACAAGGTCCTACTGTACAGCACAGGGAACTATATTCAGTGTCCTGTGACAAGCCATGGTGGAGAAGGTTATGGAAAAGGATGTACATGTGTGTAAGGCTGAGTCACTTTTCCATACAGAGGAAACTGACACAACATTGTAAATCAACTATACTTCAATAAAAGTAAAAAAGAAACCTGTTAAGAATGTAGATCTCACGTTACATGTTCTACTAAAATAAAATAAAATTTTTTACAAGAAAAGAAGAACAGACACAAGTTCCACATTTCAGGAAATGAAAAACTCTCGCTGGTCTACTGATGCTGTGCCTTGCTCTAAGAAAACCCAACATGCTGGAATCACACAGATATACCCTGGCACCATAAGCAGTATTTTATGATGCCCCAGGTGCGTGTTTCTGCCTATGACATCTGAATTCAACAACTTCAGGGGGAAGGCAATAAACAAGACATTCAGCCCTTCTTAGGTGAGCAGTGCAGGAAGGCAGCAGCTGCACGTACATCCTGCTGGTTTAACAAGCACACCTGGTGCATTTTCTCCAACATGACTTTCCCAAAGTGGCTTCTCTCCTCTGTTTTCACACTCAGGCACTTCAGGACTCAAGGAGTGAAATATTCACCATGTGTCCTGACAGATCACCAGGGCCTCCACCAGGCTTTGGTGACACACTTCTAGCCTTTTCCTCTTTTGAGACTTTCTAATGATGTGCTGTTGGGCCCACTGGCAACAGTGGTTGATATTCCTGAAGGTCTACAGCTAGCTAGGAGATTTCTAAATTATGCATTTTGGGATGATAATCTAAAATAAATTAATATGACCAGATTCTGGATCATCTGGATTAGGCCCTTAAGGCTGGATATCCGAACACAATTTCCAATAACTTGCATTGGTGTTCAATGGTATTTTATGATCTCTGGCTAACAAGAAAATAGAGGCACACAGGTTGACTTAATACTTAAATGATGTAGCCAGGGATATATGAACAAACGGTTCATGTAAGTTCAAATGGAGAAAAATGACAGAAAAATCACATGGCACCCAGCAATGTAGGCCTGTCAAACTCAAAAGAACTCATGCTGAAACAGAGAAGTACATCCTTATTGTAAGCACCAATTTAGTTTCAGCAAAACAATATCATTCCTCATATTAAATTTGTTATTAATTTGTATTTCATTGTTTTAAAAGTTTTGTTCATATCTAATCGGTGTGTGTTGCCTTTATAATTGTATAAAAGCAAAGAAGAGCTGATAGTTTTATGTTTCTAAACTTCAAATAAAATTACAATAAAAATAAACTTAACACATGAGGTCCAGAAAATTTATTTCTCTCTGAAAGTTCTCCATATAGTACATAAGTTTTAAAAAATTGGCCTGGAAAAAAGCTCCTTGACATGTGTCTTGGCAATGACTTTTTGGATATGACACAAGCAATAACAACAAAAAATAAACAAGTAGAATTACGTCAAACTAGAAAGCTTCTGCACAGCAAAGCAAACCATCAACAGAATGAAAAGGTGACTTATGGAATAGGAGAAAATATTTGCAAATCATGTTCTGATAAGGGGTTAATTTCCAAAATATAGAAAGAACTCATACAATTCAATAGTAAAAGTAACAGTAATGATAATAACCTAAGTGAAAAAATGGGCAAAGGACCTGAAGAGACATTTTACCAAAGAAGGTGTATGAAAGGCCAACAGGTACATGAAAAGATGCTGATCGGTAGGGAAATGCAAATCAAACCACAATGAGGTATCACTTCAGGCCTCTTAGAACAATTGTCATCAAAAGAGATAATAAATGCTGGTGAGATGGTGGAGAAAAGGGAATCCTTGTGCACAGCTGCTGGGATTGTAAATTGGTACAGTCACTATAGAAAACAGTATGCAGGTTCCTCAAAAAATTAAAAACAGAGCTACCATATGACCCAGCAATTCCACTCCTGGGTTTTTGTTTCCAAAGGAAACAAAATCACTTTATCAAAGAAATATCTGCACTCCCATGTTCATTAAAGCATTATTTACAATAGCCAAGTATTCACCAAGGAATAAAGAAAATGTGGTATATATTTTTCAATGGAACACTATTCAGCCATAAAAGGAAGGAAATACTGGCGTTTGCAACAACATGGATGGACTCGGAGGGCATTACGCTAAGTAAAGTAAGTCGGACAGAGAAACACAAATACTGTATGATCTTACTTATATGTGAAACCCAAAAAAACAAAAATAAAAAACAAACTCATAGGGAAAAAAGGCTCATATTTGTGGTTATCAGAGGCAAGAGGAGAGGGTGGGGGAATTGGATGAAGGTAGTTAAAACGTACAAACTTCCAGTTATAAGATAATTAAGTACTGGGGATGTAAGGTACAACATATAACTATAGCTAACACTGCTGTATGATATATTTGAAAACTGCTGAGAGAGTAAACCCTAAAAGTTCTCATCACAAGGAAAAAGACATTTTTTCTTCTTTTTTTGCATCTATATAAGGTGATGGATGTAAACTTATCGTGGTAATCATTTCAAAATATATATAAGTCAAGTCATTATGCTGTATGCCTTAAACTCATACAGTGCCGTATGTCAATTATATCTCAAGAAAAC